ACTGCTTCCTTCGCAGTCTTCAACACATCAATGGCAGTCCTTTGAAGCACGACCTACACTCTAAGCCCCAAAGGAGCACCCAGCCTTAAACCCTATCCCCCAACACCCTAAACCTTGCACATTTGAACCGCAAAGTCCTGGTCGGGCTGTTGGAGATGGCCCGCTTCAGTGCCCTGTGACTTTGCTCGGCTTGCTGTTGCGAAGGAGGATGTCCTGGAATGATGGTGGACATGTGGCCATACCACCACCTTGTGGCCAGACACTCCGCCTGCCCATATTTGTCTGCCTGGAGGGTTGCTGTGTAGCAATGTTGCTTGCGAAAATACTCGCACCACTCCGGCTCACTCCAGCCGTCAGCATCGGCCACTCTCGCCAGCCAGACTCTCAAGGCGATGATGCGCAGGGAAAGCGTAGGAAGCAAAGCCAAAGTGTGCACGGTGGATGCCACGACATGCAGGGGTCTGGCCTTCAGGCGTGGCACTCTCAGCATCTCACCCCCATTCCGACTCTTGGAGACGTTACGGAGCAAATGTTCGATCCCGGGAATGTATTTCATGGACGCTGCCACTGCCCGTCCAGCTTCTTTCATTCCCGGAAACCAATCTGTATGGAGCTGACAAGCAGTAGGAAGGTTTCGCTCTTGTAGTGCGGCGTGCACCGCTTGCAAAGCCCGCTGGTGAACGGCCCCAAGCTCCCGGTTGTGGCGGGCCATTCCCAAGAACAAGCCGCTCTTCCTCCAGCGATGATCCAGACAGCGGTACACAGCCGCCGTGACGACTGTGTAAGTCCACTCGTCCCGTTCCAAATTGAATGTTGCGTCGCTGGCAAGCAGGACCTTTGTCAAGTACCCCTGCTGGCGGAGCAGCTGCAGCTCATCCAACACCGGTGGGAACAGGCAAATGTACGAGCCACCTCGGGATGCAAAATAATGTTAGCCTCATTATTACGAACACTTTACCGGAAGGCCATTTTCCAACTCCACCTGGCTTCGCCGTTGTAAAGAGCAGCAAACCAGCAGGATCCTTGTGGCCCTCGATGAAAGCATCCCAGTCTGCCTTCGAAACAGTTGGCGGCTGCGTGAAGGTTTGGCCTGTCCATCCTTCAGCAGAAGCTGCTTGTTCTTGGACCATACGAAGTAGCGGATGGATCGGGCATTCATCTTGGAAGCACCAGCCAGTTTCCTCGCCACTCTGGTGGGAGTTACGGTTTCTCCAGCGTCCCTGAGTTCAGACACGGCGCGCCGCACGTGCTTTTGCTGGCGATGCAGATGTGGCATCCGCACGGAGCTTCCGAGGGGTGCCGCTGCAGCTGCCAGCAACGGATATGTCGAGATGCACAGCAACACGCCGACCGGACCAAGCCACAGTGCCTCTGAGCTGGAAGCTCTTTCCTTTCCTCGAGTAACAGTTGCTGCACTCAACACAAATACAAGTGGCCCTGCGATCTGACTTCGTGGTATACGGTGACGACAATTTTCCCAGCTGCTGCTCTTGCTTGTCCATCCACCATCGACAGGCTCGTAGAAAGAAGTCCTCTTCAGTCTCTGCGCGCTGCTGCTCCGAAATCGGAGCCACCTCTGTGTCAAAAAAGTACTGCACGCTGTCCAAGGGGTTGTAGGATTTCCTGGGTCGCTTAGGCTTGTGATCGCTGTCAGACACAGACACAATCTGCAGAGCTTCGGCCATGGATGCAGATTCTTCTGGACAGGCCCTTCATTGAGCCTATAGAAGCAACGCTTTAGCAGGAATTGCACTGTGAGTCGACTGCAAAGTGCCTCAACCCTGAAAACACTGCCTCGCGGACTTGTCTTCGAGCTCTTTGCTGGGTCACTCCGTCGCAGTCGCTTGGATGCAGGCCTCGGTTTGGTTGGCGGACATACTTGCCAGAGTCCATTGCCTATACACTATGGAAACATGGCTTGCAAAGCAGGCTGACTCCCATACCTGATCTTGATAAGGCCTCAACAAGGTTTAGGTTCCCTACCAACTGCTTTCAGGTTTGAAGATGCCACCAAGCAGCTGTCTACGGACAAGACGCAGACGAAGGCCTGCCGGAAGAGCCCCGAAGTCGCCAAAGCTTAGGGTTTCAGGCTTTAATGTGACTTTCGGGCTCTGATCTGCTCGACAACACTTTTGACCACACAGAAACGGGCAAGCCTGCGAGTGTCCCCCATGAGTCCCCGTGCGGCCAGCTCCGCTGCCAGCACTCTTCTCACCAGCACGATTTTTGCGCCATTCACTTTGGCACCAAGCTCACTCAAGCGCGTTCTCAGCTGCGCGACCTGACGCGTCATAAGATTGCTAGCTGCGCGACATCAATTTTGCTGGCTGAACCAAGGCGAGCACAGTGAACTGGCAAGCCAACGCAGATTCCTCGGGATCCATTGCAGTTTCCTGGCATCAGGGGGCAGGAGAGACACAGTGCTTCTGACACGCGTGTGAACGTGATTTTGGCCTTGTCTCCGCGCTGCTTCTCCTTTTCTTGATGTTGTCCTGCAGCACTGCTCAGCACATCATCCTTCGAGCCCTACCCCCAGCCAAAAGCAGCCTTGGCAGCAGGCGCAACATTGGTTAGCCTCGCTCATGCGCGCAGCCTCACTGCAACAGTCCCTTCTCGCCCCTGCGCAATTCAAGACGTGACTGCAAGGCCAGCCTCAGCAGCAGGTGCAGCATTTGCTGCGTCGTCAGCAGGCGCAGCATTTGCTGCGTCGTCAGCAGGCGCAGCATTTGCTGCGTCGTGCGCTGCAGCAGGCGCAGCATCGTGCGCCCGAGGCCCATCGGCCTGGTCCGCGCGCGCCTGCTTCTTCTTCTTGATGCTGTCCTGGGGCACAACAGGCACGCGTCTGAAACGCGGTTCTTCAACCATAAAGACATCACATCGGCCTTGCCCGTGCGCTTCCTTTTCTTGACGCTGTCCTGGGGCACAACAGGCACAGCGCCTTTGACACGCGTCTGCATAGCCCCAGACCGCCTCAGCAGGTGCAGCACTTGCCGCGTCGCACGCAGCCTGAGGTTGGCAGGTTGCAACACTTGAATCCTGCGCAGTAGAAGACAGCCTCGGCAGCAGGTGGAGCGTTCGCCTCGAAAGAAAATGAATCTGACACCCTCAGCCGTAAACATCCTCGACCCAAAACTTTGGCCTCAGGGGCTTCGATCTTCATCTGAGAAGAAGGATCCTGGGCTGCTCAGGGTGGGAATTGCTGATGTCCATTTCTGATGGATGTCCATTTCTGATGATGGACAGGTCCAGGTCCTGCGCTTCCCTCGCGGAAGCAGGGGCAGAGCTGCTGGACGCGGCCTGCTATTCTGGAGCTGCGTGGGCGACAAGACGCAAAACCCCAAACCCAGAAACCCTTTCATGGGCAAGTACAGTGGAAGCCCTAATCGCAGCCTCGTCTGCAACTTTCCGCCCAGGCGCCAATGTAAGGTCGCCCCAGGATCGGCGAAGACTGAGTACAAGTTGAAGGTCTTGGGGAAACAAAGTGGTACGGCGCGCGTGGTCTTGCAAGGCCTTTCCGTCCGCCATCACCTGCACCATCACGTTCGTTGCTGCAACGAGAAGCAACGAAGCAGCCCCTGGGGCCAACCGCAAAGTCGTCTCTGGACAAAGGCTGCGCAAGGTATCGCGACAAAGTCTGTCCCAGGCGGCCTGGGGCACCTGCCATTTCCATGATTCCCCGCAGTCGGCATCATCCTCCTCAAAGAACTGTCGTCTCAGTTGTCGTTGCCGATTGGACGACCCGCGACCTCGAGCTGAAGGATCTCCAGACTTAGCCTTCGCGACTGCTGCGACCGCTGCGGCCACCTTCTTGTGAGCAGCCTCCGCCACATTCACGCCCCCGCCTTTCATGCCGCGCAGCACACCAGCCGCCTCTGCAGCATCCAGGGTTCTGCCGTGGACATCGTCACTTTCTTCAGCTAGATTTTTCTCTTCGGCCTCCTGCGCCCTCGCCCACCTCATCCTGAGCACAGAAGCCCAAGCAGAAGCCACCTGTGTGTCCAACTTCAAGCGTTTGCTCACATTCGCGACCGCCTGGTTCAAGTTCTCGACGGTGCTTTCAAGTCCAAGCCCTGCCAAGAATGCCGCAGTCCAGGTCCACCAAAGCACCGTCTTTAAAATTCCCCAAAGATCCTTGTTGTTCATGTGAAGGCGATAGGATACGGCAGAGACCAGCGCCACAGCCTCCTCATCGTTGGCTACATGGTCTGCTGCAAGGAAGAAGCAGTGCTGCAGCAGCTCCTCCTCATCGGGCTTGCGCTTCTTTTTGAACGCCAGGACAGCCTTGCTGACAACATCAAAAGCTGCACCCGGACATTCTCCGTCTGCAGCTCTGTCCTGGTTGAGGTCACAGCACTCTTGAGAGAGGGGCAATCTACGATTCACTCCCCGTGGAGCCTTCAAGCCTCAAAACCTCAAACCCGTGAAGGCCCCTCCCTTCCCTCCGGTCCGCGTTCTCCGCAGACAGGACCGGCGACGTGACGGCGCGGTCTGGCTCGCCCTCTCCGTCGTCATCCTTGAAATCACCATTATAGTTCCAGAGAGTCAGGTTGACCCTGGATTCCTCACTTCATTCTTCTTGCTGGCTGGTTGGCGGTCAAGTGAAGCTGATATTGGGGCCTGAAGCTGTTTTGGAGAGGTTTTAGGATTAGAAGCCCCATGGACCCTCTGAAGAACCTGAACCCATGGATCCTCTGAAGCCTGAAAATGAAATTCGGAATTTCTCCACTCCCTTCCCTTCCCTCCGGTCCGCGTTCAGGACGGGCGATGTGACGAGTGGAGATTGGAAGCTGGCACGGTCTGGCTCGTCCTTGCCGTACATGCAGGGCTCGGGTTTAGGGTTTAAGGTTTCGGGTTTAGGGTTTAGGGTTTGGGGTTTAAGGTTTAGGGTTTAGGGTTTAGGGTTAAGGGCTTCGGGTTTACTAGGGTTGTTTGCAAAGCTTGCCCCGAAAGCCCATCCTCCGTGTCAGCATCCGGCATATCTTTGTCTAGTCTATAAGTGACACCGGCGAAGTCCACAAAAACAGGCTCTCCCTTCTCGAGCTCGCCAAGCACTTCAGCATACTCATCTTTTGGCAAAGAGCACAAGCCATGCCGGATTTGCCGCGTGATGTCCAGAGGGATGTTGAGCACGTTCGCGCTTCGGGGGCGAAAGCGATCTCCGACGGATCTTGAGGTCCTAAATTTCTCCCATTTCCTCTCCGAAATGCTAGAGAAGTTTCCCTGAAACTATTACAGACACATGTACACGTCTTAAGGGGGAAGCCAAAAAGCTAAGAAGCCTATGCTTGGCCATTTGGGCTAACGAGACCCCCCTGCGTCCTCGTCCTGCGCCAGCTCGGCCGAAGTCACAGGTGTAGTCGGGGTTCTGCACACACGATCGTCGGCAGGTGTGCAAACGATCGCATCATCGTCAGGGACATGGCCGTCTTCAGTCCGACGAGGCATCGTGAGGGCTTCAGCTCCGCTAGTGCTCGCATGGTCAGGGTTTGAGGCAGTCTCTGCAGCTATGGGTTTCAAAATCTCAAGTTTTCACAGCAGGGGTCTCGGCTTTCATGGCATTCATGGAAGGGGCTCAGGTTTTTGGGACAGGGTTTCAGGCCCTCAAAGGGTCGGGGTTCTGATAGAACATCCGGTCTTGAACCTGCTGCCTTCGCAGCACAGATACACAGCGATGGAAAGATTGCTTGGGAACCCTTCATGCTTTGAGAACATGGAGCTATCCCTTCCAGACACACAGCGATGGAAAGTTTGCTTGCGAACCTTTCATGCTTTCAGAACGAAGTCCCTTCGAAGAAACCAAACCGTGGCAAGCCACGCAGGCAAGGATACCTCGACCATCGGTGAAGACACGCGAAGCTGGACATCCTCAACCCGACAACCCAGCCCCCCAACTCGCCTGACTCGCACCACAGTCCACCGAGTACTCGTAAATCATCGGCAGGGTCTCAGGTTTGCATAGCAGGGTTTTTTGGTAGCAGTCATGAAAGGGTCTGAGGTTTTCACAGGGTCGGGCTTCTGAGAGAACATCCGGTCTTGAACCTGCTGCCTTCTAACCTCAGATCCCTGACTCCCCCGCGCGCCTCAGGCCTCAAAAGCTCAAATCCCTGATTCCCCCGCGCGCGCCCGCCCCCCCCCCCAACAAACCCGCCCCAGCGCGCGCGGGGAATCACCGTTTCGGCGTTTTCAGGCCTGAAAAGCTCAAATCCCTGATTCCCCCGCCGCCCCCCCCCCCCCCCCCCCCCCCAACCCGCGCCAGGGAATCACCGTTTCGCGGGCCGTTTTCAGCCGCTAAAGCTCAAATCCCTGATTGTCCCCCACGCGCGCCCGCCCCCCCCCCACAACAAACCCGCCCCAGCGCGCGCGGGGAATCCTGTTTCGGCTTTTTCAGGCCTGAAAGCCACAAATTCCTGATTCCCCCGCGCGCCCCCCCCCCCCACCAAACCCCGCCCCGACGCGCGTGGGCATTTCTCGCGGGCGTTTTCAGGCCTGAAAGCTCAATCCCTGATTCCCCCGCGCGCGCCCCCCCCCCCAAACCGCGCGGGGAATCACCGTTTCGCCTCAAAAGCCAAATCGCTGATTCTCGCGCGCGCGCGCGCCGCCCCCCCCCCCCCCAAACCCGCCCCTCCCCCTTGTGCGCCCGGGCCCCCCCCACCACACCCGTCCCCCTGAAAACCTCAAGTTCCTGAATTCCGCGCGCGCCCACCCCTCATATCAGCAGTCCTGAAACAACACCCCATGATACTCCCTATCCTGGACTCTGAGTTTAACGGCGAACCTCCCCTAATCCTGGTTTAGGGTCTAGGGTTTAGGGTTCAGGGTTTGGGTTTGGGTTCAGGGTTTGGGGGTCTAGAGTCTTGGGCTGCGGATGGCGCACAGTTGCTTCGCAAAGGACAATGGCACTGGCAGCTGGAATGTCATCCTACGAGCTCAGAAAGGCCACTCCCGAGTCCCGCCTCCTCCTCACTCGCCGAAGCTGGACAAAGTCGCCGACGAAGGGCCAGGGCAGTGATTGAGGGTGATTGAGGCAACAGAACTAGACCCCCCCCTGCAAACCCTACAGAAACCCCTGCAAACCCTTATGCGGCGTTGCTCCCGCCCTACGCGGCGTTACTCCCGCCCGTAGGAAAAAGCTGGCTCTTGAGCCATGCTGCAAAGGCAACGAGTGAGTGGTCAATCAATCTTGCACTGTTGCGGCGCTACCGGCCAGATGTTGCGTCGTTACTGCATATTTTGCGTCGTTACTGCACCAATTGTGCTGTTACCCTGAACGCTGTGTGCGTGTGCGTGTGCGTGTGCGTGTGCGTGTGCGTGTGCGTGTGCGTGTGCGTGTGCGTGTGCGTGTGCGTGTGCGTGCGCGTGCGCGTGCGCGTGCGCGTGTGCGTGTGTGTGTGCGTGGGTGTGTGTGTGTGTGTGTGGGTGTGCGTGCGCGTGTGTGGGTGCGCGTCAGCGTGCGCA